GCAGGGGGCAGGCAAAATAAACACTTCCCCAGAGGCGGGAGGACCTTCCGAGCAGGGTTTTGCGCCTATCTTTCAGAACCTGAACTACCCGGAGCAGAAGGTGGTGACGGTGGGCCAGTTCAAGATCGGCCTGATCCACGGCCACCAGGTGATCCCGTGGGGGGACATGGCCAGCCTGGCGCTGCTGCAGAGGCAGCTGGACGTGGACATCCTCATCTCGGGACACACGCACAAGTTTGAGGCCTTTGAGAACGAGAACAAGTTCTACATCAATCCCGGGTCCGCCACCGGAGCCTACAGCGCGCTAGAAAGGTACCGCCGAGAGGTTTGTCTTGTCGGTTTGGGGAAGCGTGATCATGGTTTTTGTTGTCGCCTCTTTTTGTAGCAATATAATCCCGTCATTCGTGCTTATGGACATCCAGGCGTCCACGGTGGTGACGTATGTCTACCAGCTGATCGGAGACGACGTCAAGGTGGAAAGAATCGAGTACAAAAAGTCTTAAGAAGCAGGACCAGATGTTCCATTCCTTTCCGCTAGGGGGCAGTGTCAGCCCTGTAATATATTGTTCATATTTTTTTTTTCACCCCTCACTTGTGTTGGGAGTTTAGTCATTGTACTGAATACAAACATTTCTTTCACGTGCTAATTTAGCTTCCTTCTCCATTTCTTTCTTTCCACGTCGGACAAAATAAAGGACTTCACTCTACTATTGTTTTGTCTTTACTCATAAAATCAACACCAAGTTTCATTTTTTCCAAGTAGTGTTTATGGTAACGTGGACGTGCTTCAATTTGATTATAAAGCATTATTTCTGAACAGGAAATGCAAAGTGGTGTCAGGCCATTTTATACCTTAAAATAAAACTTGTTTTTGATAGCTACACTAACTCTATGTACACCTTTAATTGGATAAATGACATATTTGACGTAAACCAAAATTCATGACATGTAAAATTGTACCGTTAGTCACGCTCATACTTATGAAATTGGTTGACCAATTATTTAATAAAATCAGTTAAAAAAACTTCCGAAACAGCCTTTTTTAATCAAGTTTAGTCATGTTCATTCTTGATTAGTGTGAATTATTTTAATAGTTAATGTTTACTGTATATGTATATCATCTCCCATTTATCAAATCATTTCTTTTTTTTTAGTTGATTTTGCAATCTAATCAAATGTTCAATGCCTATGCGAAATTGTTCAAAATACATTTACATTACTAAATAAGACAAAATTGTATTTCAACCAACTCGAGGGGAAAAGGTCTCCATGCAATTAAAAAAGTACAATAATTAAGGCTCTTTTTAATTTACGTTATTATTGAGTAAGCAATCATTCAATAAAGTAAAAAAATGGTATATGGAATTGTAGTTTTGATAATTAACAGCAAATAAAATGTCAAAAGCAACCTTGAGCTCTTCCCTCCCCCCAAAAAACACCCTGGAACAAGATTTTAGCACGAGTTGCTCCAGTGGAAATTCCCTCTATGCTGAGCGAGCCTGTCGATACTGCCGCCTAGTGGTGGTTAAGTTAGTTATACCTCCTCACATTTAAAAATTGGAATTCACAGCTCAAAAGAGGCCATTCCGGGTTTTGAACAACAGGCACTTTTAAAAGTGCAAGTAAAAATAGGTCAATCTTTGTGAAATCAAGTCAAACGAAGTCAATGGAGAGGGAAAACGGGAAAGTAGGCTTTTTGGAAATCAGTCGTGGCGGAATGGGGCATGCAAGCAGACTGACGTCCAGGCCCCTTACTGCCATTTTATCGGTATGACTGAATTCACAATCAATACCCTCACCGAGTGACATTTATCATGCACCGCTGGTTAGCGCAACCATCTATTAGCATTAGCATGTCAGCATGCGATTGACAAAAATTCAGTCAGGGGAGGTCAGTTGCGTTTCATTCAATGCATTACTCGGATTGGCCGGCCGAGAGCTTCACTTCCTGCTCTGTGGTTATAGCGATTTACACTCAACATTTTCATAGATTCAGAGACAAAGAATCAATTATTAACCAAACAATTTATTTTGCATGAACGAATCCCTTCCTGCCCGGCGCACAATACACCCGCCCTTTTTTTTTTTTGTTGTTGTTAATGACTCCTTCCTTATGTCATTCTATCCACGCACATATTGCCTTCTTCCATCCCGCTTGCGTGTCTCCAATCAACCAGGCTGGTCACCGGGTAAGTGCCCCGTGGTGGATGTCGCTTGTTGTCGCCTGGCTTGCTAACACCAAACTCTGGAGGTCCGCAGTACTCATCAGAATAGACCTAAAATGCACTAAAATTATTATATATTTTTTTAGCATTACTCAATCATAATCGCCATCACAGCTGTCCTCTGGCATTGACAACATTGGCAGTAGTTGGGGAATCATTTTGTGCTAAAAATTTTTTTTTTAAAGTTCCCTAATTAGCTTTCTCTTCTCAAATAAGTTTTTTTTTTTTTTTTAATTTTCTAATCTAGTTGTGCACTTCAAATGTCAGGAATTCATACAGCGATTCTCGGTGTGGTGAGGGGCCCCCTCTAGTGGTATGCATAAGCATCACCATTCAGTGTTCAAACTGCACATTTACAGTGACCTTCGCTTTTTGTTTTGTTTTTCAATGCAGTGCGGTAAATTTGTCACATAGAGTTCGGTTGTATTTAACTTTTGATGGTTGTTATGGAGGGCTAAGTACGTGCAAACGCAGCTCAAGCTATGCGCTCCTCTGCATCATCTTTCGAATCGCTCCAAAATTCTACAGTCAAAATCACCTTGTTCTGCTCCAAGGTGAAGAATGCACTGGCTAGCCATAAGCTAACAGCAGCTTGTGGTTGACTCAGAATGCTAACGTTTCGCTGCGAACATGAGCTTGCAGTCCAAACCAGCGAAGCCAAGCAGCCCGTGTGCTCTGCCAGAGGTTTCTAGGTCCAGTGGGTTTGTGGCACCTTTGCAAGACTACATTTACAGTATCTGATTGGGACCACTTAGTTGCAGGAACTACAAGAACTAAAACGTTTCTGGAATTTAATGGAGATACCTTTATTTTTGACTTTTGGATGACCATGGTGTTCGGGTCGTGGGGAACTATCGTCAATATTTTCAGCATTAAAAGACGCTTCTGCAAAGGAACCTTTGGGCAGTGTCTGGCAATGCTCTTGGGAGCCTAAGCCGGGTGAAAAGAAATACAAATTCCCGAAACCGGAGGTTGACCTGTCCAGCTCCGGGTCTCCTCTCAACTCTCAAGTAAATGCCACTATTTGAGCAACTACGCACTTCAGGTTGTCAGATATCCTTTGCTGCCGTTTCTTGAGACCACATCGGAGTGGAGTCCTGAAGTTTAGTGTGGGCCTTTTGCGTTCTTGTGTTAAGACTTCTAAATAAATAAGTCCTAGCGACCGTCTGGTCACTTATTGGCTCTCTGACACTCAACTGTCTATCAAAGACACGAGTAACAAAACAATGGAATAAATATCCAAACAGTTGTAGTTCAGTCAGTCAATTCACTCGGCTTTGCGCTCACTCAAAAGAAGCGGAGTGTTTCTACCTCGGTGTCCCTCAGGACGGCCTTCTGAGCCCACTTGTGTTGTTCCCCCCCCCCCCCCCCCCACCATCTCGTCGCCTCCG